TGTCGTCGTCCTCCTCCTCCTGCTTCATGTCGTCGTCCTCCTCCTCCTCCTCCTCCTCATCCGCCTCCTCCTCCCCGGGGGTCGTTTCCGGCCCCCAGGGGCCCTCGTCCCTCGGATTGTCAACAGAACGACCCATGACGAAAAGCCGGCCCTGGAGAAATGTTTCAGACCTCGGGGCCCCACGCATCGAACAAACTGGAGCAGCCGGATGTCTGGGTGGATTTTGCTAGCCCGGAACATATCCATATCCTTATGATTAGCATCACCTCCCCTCGATGCCGATCTTCCGGATTCCTTAAGTGCTGGAGGTCGCATGCCTGGGATTATCTTCGCCTTTGGGTTTGTCAATCTCGGTGGAGGGATAAGCTCGAGGCTGGTTCGGATTGGCCTGGCCAGGCTTGGTGGTGGGGGAATAGTTGGCGTCCCCCGAAGATCAAAGGCACCGTGCCACAGGAGCTGTGCGAGGCAGGGCGGCTGCGGGGATGGCTGCTGGTTGAGCACCTGCGCGGACGACGTCGGGTTCGTGTTGGAGGTCCTCGAGGACGTCTCAAGGACACTGTGCATAGACGGTGGGTCCGTGCACGCAGTCGGCTTCTCCAACGGCGCGATGTTTGCGCTGGAGTTGGGCACTAACGAGCGGGTTGCGAGCCGGTTTCGGACCATCGTCGCCATCGCTGGCGTGCCGCTGCGCGGCTTCAACCGCCCGCCGGCTCTCCGCAAGGGCGCGCGCTTCTTGGGCATCTACGGCAGGGGCGACACCCTCGTGCCAGCGTTTCCAAATCGCCCCGACGACACCGAGGCCCTGGCCAGCACTGGCTGGGTCTTCTCCACTTGGCGCAACACCTCGCGGCTGTGGGCCGCCACGCTCGGCTGCGGCGCGCTCACGGGCTCCAGCGCTCTGCGTTCGCCAGGCCCGTCCCCCCTGTCCTGCTTCGACTACGCGTGCTCCGAGGGGGGCGTGTCCGTCTCGAGGGAGCAAACAATCACGTGGGCATCAACTTTCAGAGCTCCGCCTGGATTTCTCGCATACCGGCGCTGGAGCCCCCCCCCGACCGCGCGAGGCGCGCCAGGAGCGGCGCCGGAGGCGCCGCCAGCGCCGGCGCCGCCCCAGCGCCGATGCGAGGAGCCCGCGCGGCGCCCCGAAAGCTGATGCTTGTGCATTCTGTTTGGCTCCCCGGCCCTCTGCCTGTGGGGGGGCCCCCACGCCGTCCCGCCCACGGCCCTGGACCTGGCTCTGCAGGCCATGTTCCCCGAGCGGCACGAGGCAGGCGCGGCGGCGCAGTGGGCCCTGCCGCGCACGGCGGTCGCGCTGGCGCTCGCGGCGGCGCTGGCCGCGTTCGGCGCCGGGCGGCCCGCGTGTGGGTCGGAGGGCACCAGCCGCACACCAGCTCCGAGCGTGGCCAGGATCGCCCTGGGCCCAGGATCGGGGCATGTGCCTTCTTGCCCAAGGCAGGGGGGGCGTACACACCGATCCTCGGCCCAGGGTGATCCTGGCAGGGATCCGTGCTGGTGTATGGTTGGTGCCTCTCCAGTGAGTAGGTGCCGCGGCCGTCTCCTGCCGCCGCCCGGGCAGGCCCTCGGTGGGGCCGCCCAGAAGGCGTGTGACGCATCTCGGGGAACAGCCACGGGCATAAGCACAACTTCTCGGAGCTCCGCGCGTAGTTCTCGGATCGGCGCTGGAGCCCCCTGGCGGTGCCTCTGGCGCCGATCCGAGAAATCCGCGCGGAGCTCCGACAGTCTATGTCTATGCAATTGTCTGTTCCTCTGCGATTGGCCCCCTTGTTGGAGGCCTCGGGGCCCCCTATTATAGACTTGTGACGCGGACGGCCCGTGTGACTCTCCAAAAGCCCGGTGCGCATCCTGGGTTGGCACGGGGTTTGGAATGTCGCCGTTTTAATACGTTGTTTATAATTTATGTTTAGATCGACGGTGAACGTACGCAAATTTAATAGCCTGGCTGATACAGCATGTCAGCCAGATGACGCTCTGAGGTCGCTGGGGGGCCGCATGCCCAGGCTGCATGCCGCCGCGGCACGCCCAAGTCTTGCAGGCGCTGATCAGCTCGGGGGATGGGGCAGCACTGCCCCGCCGGATTGCGCCGCGTGCCTGGGCTCTCATGCGCGACAAGCAGTGGCGAGGGCTGGCCTTGGACTACTGCGGCGAACCAGTCCGCCTGAATCAGAGCACTGTCGACCCCGCCGTCTTCGCGACCGCACCGGCGGCGGAGCCCCGCGCGGAGAGTGAGCGCCGCGCGCGTCTTGCGCGTGGCTGCAGCCTGCAGCGTGGCGGCAAGACTGCGCGTTCGAGCTGCTGCCAGAATCAATCACCTTCTCCTCTTCTCTTTGTTCCTGGAGACCCCGCATGCTGCTGCCAGGGAGCATCCTTGTAGTTGTTGCGCAGGCGACGTCAGGTCGTAACCGTCTGATTCGGACAGACAAGCCGTTCGTCTTCATGGCGTGATGACCCGATAAAAAAAGCCCGGTGCGCATCGAGGGGAGGGGTCAGGGGGGAGGGCTGGTCGGGGGGGGGCCAGAGGGGGGTGATGACTAGGGGGGGTGGATATCATGGCGTGGGCCATGATATCTCCCCAGATCTCATGGCACCTCTTGCCACTTCATTACGTCCCCAGCCCCCCCCCCGGGCCGCGCACATGCCGCCGGTCATGATTTGCGCTCCCCCTCTTCTTGGACGCCCACCTCTTGGCCGCCCCCGAGATGGGGAGGGGGGATGAGCGGGGGGCCGGCCCGGAGTCCTCGCCCTTCTCTGCTCAGGGCCTTCACGGCCCCGAGAGCTGGCCAGAAAAGGCGCCTCGGACGATCCCCCCGGAGGGCCTCGGACGATCCCCCGAGAGTGGCCCTGGCAGATTGTCAAGAGAGCCCAGAGGGCCCCAAGAGGGACGGCTGAAGGCGTCGAGGGAGGCCCCGGGGTGAGGCGCCAATGAGGCGTCAAGAGGGCCCCAAGAGAGCACCGACAGACCAGCCGGGCTTGCGCCCCCTCGCTCTCCCCGCGCGCGCCCAGGGCTCTCGCTGCCCTGCACCCCCCTCCTCTCTTCCCCTTGACTGTGGGCGTCCAGTCCTCCTCGCCCCCCCAAACCCTGACCTCAGCTACCTCCTCATCTCCACCTCTTCCTCTCCTCCCCTCTGTTCCCCTCCCCGCCCTCAGTAGGCACTGCCTGGTGCAGGGCGCCACCCCTTCTCTGCCACTGTGTTGGTTGCTAGCCAGGGATCGCCCTC